GACATCTACATTTATCCTCAATAAAGAAGCAAAATGCAGATGCGTTGTCACTCGTGAGGACTAAGATGGAATGGCTCTTTTCCAGTAAAAAGGGTCTCCGGTTCTCTACACTCACCATACGAAACACAGCAATGTCAAGCTGCTATTTTACGCTGGTATTCTGTGAGAGCGTGGTCCTTCCCCGGTCGAGCCGACCCATTCATGCTACAACTATACTATTAATATAGCTGCAGCATGGCTCTACCACGTACAAATGCTGATTTTTTTCTTTATGAATTCACTAAGTCATTATGATGCCCGGTTAATAATAATCCTTTTTTATATGAAATATATCCCTTTTTTTTTAAATACTACTCTCCCTTTGGGTTCTGCCGCAGTCGAGTAAAAATCAGTTACTAATTATTTAACTTATAAAATAAGACTGTCGGTCCATGTCATAAATTATTAATTTATGGTTGGTTGATCATATTTATTGTATATTGTAAATTTAACAGTAACAACGATTTCTAATCTGTATGACATAATATCGTAAAGACATAAATCATTTCGATTGCATTTAAAAAATGACTAGGTATATTATTATCTTATTTTTTTAAATAAGTTATATTATTTAAAGTATCTATTACTATTACAGCCTACCAAAAGTTTGTTGCTAAACACTTGCTTCCCCTATAAATTACACCAGTGGGGAGATATTTGACATAGTTGCCACGCTGGGCAAGTAGGTTGGTAACCGCAGTTTATTTTATTTTTATTTAGTTACTAGCTAAAATAAAATCGGTACAGCCGTTTTGGAGATTAGCCGGAACAAATAGACAGCCAGACAGACAAAAATTTTAATAATTATTTTTTTGTTATAAGTACTGTAAATACATTTATATGCATTTATTCACAAAGCTGTTATTTTAACATTACAAACACACACTTCAATTTCATTTACTTTAAGGAAGTTGCTCCTGTCAATCTCCTGATTCAGTTACTCTCTGTCGCCTCTTACGATACCCAACGGATAATATGGAGTAGTGGATATTCTTATACCACCACTTTGATGAATTTAGCCGTGTATTCATCAATAATTATTGAGAGTATTTCTCTCTCTCTCTTTTCTAAAAAATGTTACCTCCACACTAGGATTTTCTCCTGTATCGTGGAGGCAGTTTACAAACATAAATTGCACGAGGACAAACATCCAGACCCGGAACAATTATTTGTAGGCTATACAAATACTTGTTCCGTGCGGGATTCGAACCCGCGGCCCCCAGCCCAACAACTTATTGCTAAGTCACGGAGCCGTCAATTATTGAGAGTATATTCGATTTTAATTCAAATTAAATACAAAGCATTAAACCAATTGCTTGGTTATAAATAAGTTCGCTTCTTTATAAACGTAAGTACGTTGACGTTTTGCAACATCTCGTTCGCAGGCCACTGTCGCAAGGCTGGGCAGTCGCAACATAAAACAATGGCCGCTTTGCCCCGGGGACAATACAAGTTGCTATCTTAAATACAAATGTAATTCCACGTTTTAGAGGCACCTTTTTACTTTGTACATTCAAAGTAATGTATTACAAAAGAGATTTATATGCAAAACATTATACATTTTTTCACAGTACGCGGGCAACCCGGGTTCGATCCCCGCCGGCACCAATGAAATTGTTAATTGGAATTTTAAGAACTGATTTACCACGTGCTCGGTGGTGAAGGAAAACATCGTGAGGAAACCTGCATGTCTAAGAAATAAAAAAATATATTTAAAAGGGCTATTTTTTTGGAGGTCCTTTAGTTATGTGACTTCAGATTAAGCGTTGGCGACAGTAGTTCCAAGTTCGAGGTAGAACGTTTGGTTTTTATGTAATAAACTAGCTTTTCCCCGTGACTTCGCCCGCGTGTAATTTAGGGTTTTAATTTTGTTGTGCGGAACACTAATTATTTTTCTAAAATATAAGTAGCCTATGTTACTCCTTATAATATGAGCTGTCTACCAGTGAAAGTCCCGTCAAGATGGGTCCAACCGTGTCAGAGATTAGCCGGAACAAACAGACAGACAGACAGACAAAAATTTAAAAAATTGTGTTTTTGTAACTACCGTATAATATACTTTCATATGCAATTAGTAAAAAGCTGTTATTTTGACACTATAAACAGACACTTGAATTTTATTTATTTGTAATACAGTATAGATTAAACAATAATACATTTATACACGCTTTGGAGTTTCATTTGGTTGGATTAAAAACTGTTTATGTTCCACACTACAGGAAATATTATGTTTATGTTTTTATGTCATAATTTTCAAGTTAATTACAAATGCAGCTCATAAATATATATAAATATATAAATAAATATATATATATATATATATATATATATATATATTTATTTATTTGTAATCAACATATATTTGTTTATCTGTAATCAACTTCAAATAAAGCTACCAATGTGCTGTATGCTCTAGGGGCTACTGTATCTCCATAGACCTAAAACTTACACAGCAGTGGATCGATCCTAGTTAACCATAATATAGACGTACAGACACAATCACCAAGTAAAATTATTATAGATACAGTAGAACGCCGATTATCCGAATTAATTGGGACCGGGGTCGATTCGGATAATCGAAAATTCGGATAATTAGACATAGACTGGTATGTAATAAAGAAAAACGAATTGTCACACATAGAATAAACTTTATTAAGTTTAACAAACGTAGTTCTACAATACGTAAGTAGTGCACACGCGAGAGAGAGAGAGAGAGAGAGAGAGAAAGAGAGAGAGAGCATCAGCGCTGCGGCAGATAATGTACGAAATACTTACAGTAGGGAGGTACTTGATTTTAATTTTTTATATTACGCTTAGGACCGATTCGGATAATTGGCGATTCGGTTAATCGGCGTTCGGATAATCGGCGTTCTACTGTACTACATTTTTATTTTATTCACATTTTCGTTGTCGCGAATCTTTCACGATCTTTACCGAAAAGGTCCAAGTATCTATATTGAATAATTTTTGTGAAATGTTCAACTATAGATTGTTTTAAAGTAAGTATCCAATAACCTTGATGATTAATATCCCACAATATGTTTTTTTGGGCACCTTAAGTACTTAGCGCTTGTAATACTTTATGACCAAGAATGTTTCGCTGTTATATAAAAAAATCAAAAAACACAATCCAACCCTTTTTTCTGCCGACTTCCAAAAAGGAGACGGTACTCAATTCGACTATATGTTTTTTTATGTGTGTTACCTCATAACTTTGTACTGGGCGAACCGATTCCGATGATCCTTTTTTATATGAAAGCTGATAGTTCTCGTGTGGTCCCATATGAATTTGATCAAGGTCAGACCAATGGTTATTGAGTTATTCTTAAATAACCTATATTGAAGTCGCTTATATTGAAGTCAGCTGTACAAAATTTTTAATTTTAAATTATTTATGCACTATTTTACACCATTTCTACGGTGTGAATAATACACTACCAAAATTAGAACATTGATTTAAAAACAATAATTTGCTTTATGGTTATTTAACATGTGTTCTAGGTATTTTTTTATACATTTTGTTTCACTGTACCTTGCACTATAGTGAAACAAAATGTATAAATAATAATACTACACTGCTACCTTGTAAACGGTAGGTAACAAAACTAAATGTATAAAAATACCTAGAATACACGTTGAATATTTGAATACCAATGTGCTCTTAAACGGAGGACTTGAGTCTTGTGGATTAAACTGTGTTTTTGAAATTAAGTACTATGGACGCAAAGCTCCAATGGAGCCCTAATATATTTAAATTAGCAAGCAGACTCAGTTCGGCAGCAGATGCTGTAAGAAAGAATAAAATAGAAATAAGTCTGAACAATGTTGATACAGCTAGCTATTAGTTTAATTTAGTTATTTCCATTGCATGTCATATTATGTAATTTAGTATAAGAAAATGCGACTGCAAATAACTTTTGGGAATAAGGTGATCGCTATAATGTTTGTTCTATTATAATTCAATATAAATAATTGTTAAATGTCCTATGTTATATGTTATATAATGCCTATGTTATAATGTTATAGAGAGCTCGGTCAGCGGACCAATGTAAACAGAAGGGGTAGAGCCATGCTGCAGCTATCTTATGGTTGTAGCACGAATGAGCCGGTTCGACCGGGGAAGGATCATGCTCTCACAGAATACCAGCGTAAAATAGCAGCTCAATGCTGCTGTGTTTCGTATGGTAAATGTAGAGAATATTTTTACTGGATACGGGGCATCCATCTTAGAACTTAGGGGTGACAACGAATTTGCATTTTGATTCTTAATCGAGGATAGATGTAGATGTCTATGGGCCACAGCATCCACTTACCATCAGGTGGGCTGTGTGCTTGCGTGTCAGACTTTCCTATAAATAAAGACTAACTATCTGCACAGGTTAAGGTTATAGATTAGGAGTGTGTGGCAAGCACAGGTGAACTCTCTATTCCCTCACTCTCATAGACTCGTGGGACGGATATCCGACAGGACCAGACGCAAGATCTTTATGTGTTTTCAAGGCGGAGTAAGGCGTACTTGTGGTAACAAGAAAAACAAGAGGATAAAACTGGAACTGTTCTATTCGTCGTTGACGCCGCAAAGGGGCGAACCTCAATTTTTTTTAAAATTACAGGAGAGCAAGAAAACATTCATTATTCCCCGATTACTAACTTTTTTCATCAGAAAATTAATCTTATTTGTAGTTTTACATTAAGTCTAATATAATATAGCCCTTTTGCGGCGTTAGCGACGTATTATGTCAACCTACATTACTGATAAATGTAAAATTTAATGATTAAAAATAACCTCGCTAGATTTCTTGCTGGTGACAGAGATATTTTTCGAACCAGTGGTAAATAATAAAATTACTCATTTACGTAATAATATCTATATTGAATAAATATATACTATTCTATTTAATAATCTATATTAAATAAAAGTATTATATTATATTTCTTAGTTTACGTATAATTGTTCTTACCTGTAAACCACTTCTGTTGATCGGGAATCGATCTCTGTCCAGATCTCTTTCATTAGGCAACGGCGAACTGGATCGCCGTGGCAATGTGGCATTGCCTGATGGCAGGGTGTCTGACAAGTAGACTTCATCTGTAAATAACAAACATTGTATAATTTGCGAGCTGCAGTGTAAATATGTCAGTTCACATTTAATTATTACGATAGATTTAGATGCAATATAATAATAACGTATAAAGTAGTGAAAATAAGTACAGTAATGTGTATAAGACTAAATCTATACATCTAATATTATTAGAACACGTTTATGGAAAAGTAGATGAAAAGTATGTTCCAATTTCAATATGACCTAAAGATGTTAAAAGTTACTTGTTGTTAATAATAAGATTATATTTTTTCAGAAAATTCATGGTGAAAACATCCATTGAAAATTGCGAATTAAAATCGTTATCGACTTGCAATTGTTAGGTGTACGTTGAAAAAGATGTCACGGTGCATGGTTGTTATAATAAAATTATGTAGTATATTTTTTAAGTGTTGATACATTAAGGAGCCATGCGCGGTGCTGGTGCGTGCTCAATAGAATCGCAAGACTTCAATACCCTCGTTTTGTAACTCAAGCCATTCGTCACGTTTAACCTGGCGACATCTTTTTCCCCTTGTCAGGGAGTTATCACACCATTCTAGAGACTTCAAGAATGTGTCACGGCACGATACGACTTCGCGAATGAAGGATATTTTCTCACCAGATCTTATTGTGCTGTTTCGGCTATCAACTTCTGTTTGTTGTGGTTGTTGTTTTTGTTTAGGAGTCTTATTTTCATTTATATATTTTGAACTTGCTTCACGTTCGTTGGACAGTAACAGATTCGTCGTAGATTTAATTGATTCACTGTCTATTGTTTTTGTCGTTATAGAGGTAACTGAATCGTTATCAATCGGTCTAGTGATAGTTACTGTTGGTATGGACTGTTGTGTTTGCTTTATTATTTTACTGTTTAAAGTATAACTTCTCCCAGTTGGGCCCACTAAAGAAGAATTTGGATCTTCAATCGGAGAATCGTGTTGTTCCTCTGGCTCAGTTTGACAACAGCAAAGAAAACACTTTTGAAAGCACTTACACATTATTGTGTTAAATTTATTTGTTTCGCGACGGTCCGATTGTATATCGTAAATATTAACAGGCTCGTATTGGTAACGAACAATAACTGATTTATATGGTGGGCTTATGCTACTGTTTTCAAACGATAAATATTTAGATTCGGATTTTTGGCTAATTAAAGCGGCCATTTTAAACGCAGCAACAGTTCACAGAGCAACTGAGTTGGAACAAATTAAGTAACTTTGTGTAGATTGAATTGAAAATCCACATTTTATCGCGTCCTGCACCGAGTTCGTTTCCTGTTATTCGTCAAGCTAGCGATAGTATCCGCGATCAAATACATTGAATCACAGAACGGCGTATGCGTGGGATGCTAATTATGTTCGCGGGCAATTATTACTGACTATTATAAGGTGACGACAAGTGTACTTGTAACCGGCAACATTACCCGTAGGATTAGAAAACAAAAACAAAATAAGTAACAATTACCTTGAAAACTTAGGGCATTTGGAGGAACCGATAATGTACTCCATCGTTTTGATGGTGATTTAATACCAGTATCATTAACGTTGAAACTTAAAGATCTGGAAGTCATTGTGTTTTTCAAAATCTTTTTTTCGGATGTATTATTCAAGGTAGGTAGAGAAGACTTAAAGTCTTTGACCTTTAAATTATCGGAATGGCGTGTTACATTGGAATCTTTTCTGAGTCCAGTATCCGTTTCAATTTCATTATAAATGGTATGATTTTCTTGAAAATCTTGTACCGTTCCTGAAGAACCAGCATAACCTGATTCCGAACCATTAGGGCTTACATTGTCTGCTTTTTCATTAGATCTTTCTTTATTTTCCGACTCTGAGTCTGAAAGTTCCACAGATTCACATTTCACTTGATTGAAATCGGATGTCTCACTTCCTAGTTTGACGGATAAGAACTTGCTTGGATTTACACTCTCCACTTTAGAAATAAACGGTTCATTTTTTTCTTTCGCTGCAATAACTTTATCAAAATTTTCCTGTGTAATGTTTATATCCGTGTCAGATTCACATATTAACCTCTTGCTCTCGACCTTCCTTTGTTTATTTATAATTTGACCTTTAACTCTGTTTTTCATTAAAGAGCGTTCTCTTAATTTTAATTTTGGCGCTTTAATTGGCATTGGGTCATCTTCGTTAACAGTTGTTTTTAATTTCAACGTGTCAGAAACTTTATTTTTGTTCTCAACTTCTTTAGTCTCGGAAATAGTCAAATTTGCACACTTCGCAATAATTTCATCGATTTGTTTTTCAACAAAAGTAGCATTTCCTGAATTTCTTGCCACTTCATTTGTTTTTTCTTTACTTAGCTCAGGTTTATTTACTGAACTTGTTCCAACAATTTTGGGTTTTACATTTTGTTTATCATTACTTCTTTGCAGAAGAGGTGTTCCAACCTTAGACTTCTGTATCACATGTACAGCTTTTAATTGCGGGGTAGTTTTATTTATAGAAGTTAACTTCGATTTATTCTCTAAGTTTTTAGGAATGGCAGTGGCTAAATCTCTATTTTTTCCAAAATTTTCACCAGATTTGTTATGAGATAAATTAGGTTTAACTAATAGTTTTCTTTTCGGTTTAAGGTCTGGTGATTTGCTACTTGACGAAGAGCTATTTGATCTATATAATTTAATTAACGTTATGTTAATTTCGGTCTCGGTTGATTTATCTTCTTTCTTAAGATTACTAGTCGATTTGTTGATTCCTTGAGCAAGTTCTTCAGTTTGTGTTGATAAAATATCACAAGGTAAATAATCAATATCTGTAATATCATCAACTTTTGTGTGACTCTGTAAGTATGGAGCACTTTTACTGTTTTGACGTATTTTTTCATCTATCTTTTTACTGACAGAATAATGTGTACTTACTTTTTGTTTTAAAGATACTGCTTTTGGTTTGGACAGTTCAGATGCCAAAAATGAGTAAAGTTTAAACTTTTCTCTCTGCTCCTCTCTTATTTTAGTTAATGGTACAGGATCCAAATCGTTATGAACATCTTCCGTGGTGAAACAGTTCCAACACGACACATCCACTTCCTTTTTATTCGTAGTTCTTTTCATTTTTAGAGGCACTGTTAACTTTATCACTTATCGTTAACGTTTAAAATTTGACCACGGTAAGAACTCGATTACTTGTTGAGTTAGCGTACAAATAAACCAATTTAGAAGTCGTCTAATGTTTATAAAATAAGTATTGTTTTGGTACTTGAGTAACGTATTTTAAACGACTTAAATATTTAAGATACTAAAATGTTTTAGATATAAAAAGATTGCGCAACGCTTTGGAACTGATATTTCGAACACGTTCGACACACCAATGTGATTATTATGCTGGTTTATTATTTGGCATTCGATATTAGTATAAGGTTAATACAAGTTTAAGCAAACACGTTTTAACACACACATATACATACAGAAATATTATTTTTCTCGACTTCATATTATTTTTATTTATTATTTTGCAATTTAATCAAGTAAGATTATTAAGGAACAATATGTAAAGCATTTAAATAAACTTTATTAGTAGTACGTACGTACGTATAAGTACATTATTCTACTTATTGCATTTAGTACACCTATTCTAAACCCTTCCTATAGTCATGCCAGCTTAACGGACTCATAGTATGCCATAATTGCCGTTTATTGAGGTTATAGATCAAACTAATTTGGTTGGTTTCTGTAGGGTTGTCGAATTTAATTTCTATTACTATTATAATATATTACCAATATTACACTATATTTTATTATTACTTTTAAGAAGTTTTAAAGATTTTATTATTTTAGTTGTTTATAGATGTAAGTTATTGTAATGTTATTTTGAGTGGTCTCTAATCTAAGGGATTAATTAATTCATTCATTATAGCGCATCACAATTCTATAGAAGTTTACGAGCAAAATAAAGTATAAATGATTACAACACTAAAATTTGTTTCAAAACAATTGTTCAATAAATGTTTTCTTCGAATTACTTTATTTATAAAATTAATTATGTCCGTCATTTTTATAAAATCAGCTTTAATTTCTTTGGAATGTAGAAAGTAGCATTACTAGAATACTACTAGGCATGAATAGACTCCCAGATCCTTGAAGAACATATTCCGTGCGGATATCGAACCTAAGGCTCGCAGCGCTGCAGCCAAATGTTAAGCGTCTCGGCAACTGAGCCTTGCTGATTTATTCTTTATAGAGTACCCATTGATCACTAATAAAAAACTAAATACACAATCGGTGAAAAAATGTCCTTACCAAATACGCGCCCACTCGAACATAATTATGGGTTTATGGGTGCGCTTTTAATTTGTACGTAGCTTTGTGAATACAACTTTTAAGTAGTAATTTTATTCAAAACAATTTTAAAGCAGTATTTCTCGAAGGTGTTTCCTTTTTGATTTCAGTTAAAAAGTAAGCGTGTTCTTCAATATGCTATCATGATCGAGTGATAAAATTGGAACAATACTTTCAATGACGTAGGTAAGCATTATTAATCTGCACGTAAGAATACAGATTAACTAACAGTTACTATGTAAGTAAGAACAACTTACTTAAGAAATCATTCCACTCCTTATAATTATATGACTGATTGACTGTATTTCTTAGATCGACTAAAGGAAATATTTCTGAGCAATATTTAAAATGTGTATTAAAGGAAGGCAGAGAAACAATTGTTCAAATAAATAATTGTATGTGTTTTAGTATCAAAGTAGGTAACATGGTAACATACTGGATACAATATATAACATATACATATATAATATAACATAAACACAAATTACTCTCCCGTAAGTCATATATAAACATTTCGATTGTTTATCTATTGTCTTTTTCGCGGACAAGGAATTTGTCTATCTCTATCGGTTTGGTCATTATTATCAGAACTGTGAACATATTTTCGAAAAGCTAACAAACAATAACATTCCGTCATAGATAATATGAAGATTATTTTTAATGTAATTTTAGTCACTCTACATTTTAATTAATTATGAAATTTTATAATGA